CTTGGCGCCTGTGGCTCAAGTGGCTAAGGCGCCAGCCATATACACCTAAGGTGGCAGGTTCGAATCCAGCCCGGGCCTGCCAAACCAACAATAACGGCGCAACCAAAAAATAGCCGGGCGTTGTGGCGGGCGCCTGTGGTCCCAGCTACTTGGGAGGCTGAGGCAGGAGACTCGCTTGAGCGCAGGAGTTGGAGGTTGCTGTGAGCTGTGATGCCATAGCACTCTACCCAGGGGGAAAGCTTGAGGCTCTGTCTCAAAAAAAAAAAAAAATCTTTCTTTTTAAAAAAGATATAGGTTATTTATTGCTATAAACTTTCTTCTTACATCTGTTTCCACTGCATCTCCAAAGTTTTGATTTGTTGTGTTCACATTTTAATTTTTCTCAAGATTTTATTTTATTTTATTTTTGATTTCTTCTTTGACTCGTTGGTTCTTCTGGAGTATGTTGCTTGATTTTCACATATGTGAGTGCTCCAACTTCCCTCCTGTTATTAATTTCTAGTTTTATACCATCGTGGTCAGAAAAGATGCTTGATAGGATTTCAGTCTTCTTAAATTTGTTAAGACTTGTTTTGTGGCCTAACATATGATCCATCCTGGAAAATGTTCCATATGCACTTGAGAAGAATGCCTATTTTGCTGCTATTGGATGGAATGTTCTGTATATGTGTATTAGGTCCATTTGGTCATAGTGTTCTTTAAGGCTGCTGTCTCCTAATTGATTTTCTGTCCAGATAATACATCCATTGTTGACAATGGGGTGTTGAAGTCCTCCACTATTATGTATTGCTGTCTCTTTATTCCTGCACTTCTATTTTGTTAATTTACTTAGGCACTTTAATGTTGGTACATGCATGTTTACAATTGTTATTTCCTCTGGATAAATTGACCCCTATATCATTATATAATGACCTTCTTTGTCTCTTCTCGCAGTTTTTGACTTAAGGTCTATTTTGTCTCTCATAATTAGAACCATTTCTGCTCTCTTGTGGTTACCATTTGCATGAAAAATCTTTTTCCATCTCTTCACTTTTAGCCTGTGTGCCCTTTAATCTAAAGTGAGTTTCTTATAGGCAGCATGTATTTGAATCTTACTTTTTAATCCATTCATTCACTGTATGTATTTTGATTGGAGACTTTCATCCGTTTACATTTAAAGACTTACTATTGCCATTTTGTAATTATTTTCTGTTTTATGGTTCCTGTGATCCTTTCTTCCTCTCTTGCTGTCTTCTTTTGTTAATTGATAAATTTTTGTGATGATATTTTTTATTCCTTTTCTCTATATTTTTTTGTGTACCTCCTGTAGGTTATTTTTTTCTTTTTGATTACCATTAAGCTTATATGAAATATAACATTCTGTTTTATGTTGGTAACAACTGCCTTAGTCCATTTGGGCTGCTTTAAAAAATAATATAATCTGGGGAGTTTATGAACAAAAGAAATATATTGCTTGCACTTCTGAAAGGAGGAAAGTCCCAGATCAAGGTGCCAACAGATTCCGTTTCTGGTGAGAGTGCATTTTGTGACTCACAGATGCCATCTTCTTACGGCATCTTCCCTTGGTGTATATAGCTATTTCCGGGCTATCTTTTATAAGGGTTTAATCTCATTCGGGGGAGGAGATTCACCTTTGTTACTTAATCACATCCCCCAAGGCCCCACCTCCCAAGCCCATCACATTGTGATAAGGTTTCAACATATGAATTTTTGGAGGGCAGACCATAGCAACAACTTAACCCCATTTATATGCTAAAATTCAATACTTATTATTTCCTTTTGCAATTTATTGATGTCACAGTTTATATCTTTTTACATTATATATCTATCAATAACTATTATAGCTATAGTTATTGAAGCTATAGTTATGTTATTTTTAATACTTTTTGTCTTTTAATTTAGTAGAGTTAAAAGTGATATGCATACTACCAATACAAATGCTGCTTAAGCTATGTTGGGGGTTACATCCTAAAAAACCCGTCGTAAGTTGAAAATATTGTATGTTAAAAATGCACTTAATATACCTAAGTTGCCGAACACCAGAGTTTAGCCTCACCTACCTTAAATGTGTTCAGAACATTTCATTAGCCTGCAGTTGGGCAAAATCATCTAACACAAAGCCTATTTTATAATAAAGTGTTGAGTAGCTCATGGACTTTATTGAATACTATACTGAAGGTGAAAAATGGAATGGTTGTGTAAGTACTTGAAGTATGATTTCAACTGAGTGTGCAGTGCTTTTGCACCCTTGTAAAGTCAAAACATTGTAAGTTGCCCGTAGCACAGTGGTTATGGCATCAGCCACACACACCAAGGCTGGCAGGTTTGAACTCAGCCCGGGCCAGCAAAAACAACAATGACAACTGCAACAAAAATAGCTGGGCACTGTGGCAGGCACCTATAGTCCCAGCTGCTTGGGAGGCTGAGACAAGAGAATTGCTTAAGCCCAGGAGTTTGAAGTTGCTGTGAGTTATGATGTCACAGCACTCTACCCAGGGTGACATAGTGAGATTCTGTCTCATAGAAAAAAAAAATTGTAAGTTGGACCATAGACTATGTGTAAGTATTTGAGTATTCTGAATTTGACTATACACTTACCTTTACTAGGAAGCTTTATACCTTCATATGTTTTCATGTTGCTAATTACCAGCCTTTCATTTCAACTTGAAGTACTCCCTTCAGCACCTCTTATGAGGCAAATCTAGTGGTGTTGAATCCTCTCAGCTTTTGTGTGTCTTTCAAAGTGTTCATCTTTCCTTCATTTCTGAAGGGCAGCTTTGCTAGATATAACATTATTGGTTGGCTGTTTCTTTCTCTTCGCACTTTGAATATATTATCCCACTCTCTCCAGGCCTGTGTGGTTTCTGGTGAGAAATCCACAGATAGTCTTATGGACATTTCTTTGTGTAAGACAAGTTGCTTTTAAATTTTTCTCCTTGTCTTTGACTTTTAACAGTTTGATTATAATGTAACTGAGTGAAGACCTTTTAATGCTTATTTTGTTTGGGATTCTTTGGGCATCGAGAATCTAGATGTTCATTTCCCTCTCCAGATTTGGGAAGTTCTCTGTAGTCATTTCTTTAAACATGCTTTCTGCCCCTCTCTCTGCTCCTTCTGGAATACCCACACCACATGTATTGATTTGCTTCATGGTGTCCCATGGAATTTCTCATCTTTTTTTATTATTTTCTCTTTTTATTCTTCCAGGTGAGCAATTTCAAGTGACCTGTCTTTGAATTCATTGATTCTTTCTTCTGCTTGATCAAGTCTGCTGTTGAAGCTCTCCATTAAATTTTTCTGTTCATATATTTTGTTCTTCTAGAATATCTGTTTGGTTCTTTTTTATGGTTTCTTTCTCTTTGTTGAACTTTTCATTTTTTTCTATGTATTGTTTTCCTGACTTAGTTTAGCTTTCTGTCCTCTTACTGCTTACTAAATTTATAATTATTTTGAATTCTTGTCAGGTAATTTATAGATCTCCATTTTGGGGGGGGGGTCAGCCACTGGCACTTTATTGTGTCCCTTTGGTGGTGTTATATTTCCTTGATTTACATCCTTGGAGACTTGCATTGTGTCTTCACATTTGAAGAAGCAGTCATCTATTCTAGTCTTTACTGACAGGCTTTGGGAGAGAAAGACCTCCTGTGAATCCAGCTAGAGATTCTGGGTGTCTTTCAGACCTCTTCCCTTGAATGCATCTGCCTCACACCTTTTAGTCCCTCTGGTGGGGGTGGGGGTGGGGGTGGGGGTGGTTAGGAGTGTTAAGGATTGTGTGCCTTCCTTCAATCCTGCAAAGCCAGGCCTGGTGCTAAGAGCCGCCTTTTTCTTTCCCCTGGAGGAGTGCCCTGAAGTGTCCAAGGCTATATATCTTAGTCCAGGCGGCGCCTGTGGCTTAGTGGATGGGGTGCCTGCCCCATATACCGAGGTTGGCAGGTTCAAACCCGGCCCTGGCCAAATTGCAACAAAAAAATAGCTGGGGATTATGGCAGGCACCTGTAGTCCCAGCTACTCAGGAGGCTGAGGCAAGAGAATTGCCTAAGCCCAGGAGTTGGAGGTTGCTGTGAGCTGTGTGAAACCATGGCACTCTACCCAGGGTGATAAAGTGAGACTCTGTCTCTACAAAAAAAGAAAAAAAAAACCACAAGAAAATGATGAGCCATAGTGTCCTAACATCCAGACTAGATCAGGAAAGACCTTAAAATCTAGAGATGGGTTTAGGTTTGAACTTTTAGTTAAGGGGGATCTCCCAATAATTCTTGAATGAAGTATAATTTGATGGAAATCTATTTTGGGAGTAACTGTGTGAAATCACCTAAAACAGAAAGAGAACCAGGTTATTGCTGTTTTTAAACGTGTATGAGCACCTTGGACCTGCCAGGGATTTAGGGGGAGTTTCTTGTTGCTATAAACCTTGATACACCTTCCACAATTTCTTTTCTTTTATTATTAATATTATTATTTTGAGACAGAGTCTCACTTTGCTGCCCTTGGTAGAGTGCTGTGGGGTCACAACTCACAGCAACCTCCAGCTCTTGGGCTTAGGCAGTTCTCTTGCCTCAGCCTCCCGAGTAGCTGGGACTACAGGCGCCCTCCATAACGCCCTGCTATTTTTTTGTTGCAGTTTGGCCGGGCCAAGTTTGAACCCGCCACCTTTAGTACATGGGGCCAGCGCCTTACTCACTGAGCCACAGGCAGTGGGGCCACAATTTCTTGTATGCAGTGAGCATTAAACAAAACCAAGGGTGCTAGATTAAACACTCCCTGGGGGCAGAGATATTGTTTTCTTGGCTGCCATACACTCGGTTTCTGGAATGATGCCTGGAATATAGTTGACATTCAAGAATTTGAATGCCCTGATGATGTAGTCGCCCTGGAACTTAAAGACTACTCACCCCTAGGATTAATTAAAAATTAATTAATGAGACCTAATGAGTGTCATTTAAATATAACACAGAAGGTTACATACCAGCTTTCTAGGGTTTTTTCTTCTCTTCTCCCAGATGGCAGACGATCAGGACCATGTTGGGGAGCAGGGAGCTGGGGATTCAGCAAATGACTCAGTGGATGCCAAGCCAGATCGGTCCTCCTTTGTGCCATCACTCTTCAGGTAAGTTTCCGCCCTCGCTGGATTAATCTGTGACCCTGGGCCCCTTTGGCCTGCCTTGCATCTGCCACCTCCACCCAGCTGTGGGAAAGAGGAAGTTCACCTTGTGCATGAGAGGTCTGCACAGGGTCGTGCTGAGTATATGTAGCAACAGTAGGGTTCCCCAAGTGCACCTTCTTATCTCTGGGGCAAGCCCAGGAAAGAGAGGAAACCATGCTGTGTGGTCCCCTGCTCAGCGGCTGTTTGTCTGTGTGGCAGTTTCCAGGAATGAGCAGCTGTAGAGGGGATTCACAGTCACCTTCAGAGCAGAGCCTGGGCTGCTGCTACCAGTGGGACCAAGCTTGACTAACACACAGAGCCCTGGGGCCAAGCTTTCGGGTGATTCCCACCTTGTGCCTTAAGAGGCACTCCGCAGGTGGTGGGGTGGGGGGCGCATCCTGTTTACTGTTCCTACCTTTTCCTTTCTTGAGTTCGCTTTCAAAATTTAAAATTTTACATTTAATAACAATGATAATAGTGTCATCGAATTGATGAAACTTTTGTGTGCCTGCTCAGTATTAACTGAATTTAGTCCATATAATCCAAGGAGTTGGTTCTGTTGTTATGACCATTTAACGGTTAGGGAAACTGCAGCAGTAAGAGGTTTAGTAGCTCGCCTCTCTGCTGACATTTAATAAACGGTAGAGTTGATATGAGAAGCCAAGCAGTACCGGAACTGGTGACTTAATGGATGAACAGTGAGTGGTGCTACCTGATGAGAGGTTGGACCTCTACATGGGTCAGAAGCATAAGGCTGCCTTGTGTCCCCTAAGTCAAGTCCATGCTGGGAGAGACCCTAAGAGGGATAAAGGCTGAGTGCTCCCAGGCAGTGCTCAGGAGGGGACTAGTGGGTAGTGAGGGGCAGCCTGGCTCCTTGCAGTACAAAGAGGGCCTCGTATCATATCGTCCCAGACAAGAGTTGGAAAATCAGGAGGACTCCAACACTGTGGACGCAAATTCTATTGTTTGCCATTTAGAATATCTAATGAAGTGACTGGAAAAGGCAGTACCAACTCTTGGAAGCATTCCGAAGCGAGGATAAATTGGTTCAGGCTGAACTATAATCACTACACCGCTAAGGAAGGATCCTTAGGGCAATGAATGGTCGTCCGATGTTTTTGCTCACGTGTCGTGTGCCAACATAATGTTGTAAAATTGTATTTCCTTATATATTTTAAGGTGACATATAAATTCTTTGTCAAGAGAATTGCAAAGGGTGCGATTATTATTATACTATTTCACTTTTGCCACTCTTCTTGAGTATTTGGGTTATGCAGGTTGCCTCTATGTAAGCAAGAAACAGGAATTGTCTGATACTCTTTTATGAGTCTTAGTAAAGCCTTTTTGTTTACTTCCCAGAGATTGTGAAAATGAATTGCGCATTGTTAAATATAGACATTTTAAAAAGGGAGCGGGGGTTGGTTAGCTCGTCTAAGGGGACTGGAAAAAAATTATTTCTTTAAATATAGCCAATGGAATCTAAGTCCATAGTGATTTCATAACTACCTTTACCTGTTAAAAATAGATGAACAGCTCTCCTTTGACAGCTAGAGTTTTTATGTTGTTTCTTTTGTCTCCTGAAATAAGTTTTTTATTCTTTTTTCACCCATATTTTCTGCTGTAATAGATTTAGTTGCTTGAAAGTCTTTTCTGAATCACCTCCTTACATGTCTCTAACATATACATATATGCACATATATGTCCGTATAAATTTTAAGACATTTTTCCAGATATCATGAGTATTAAGAGAAACTTCTCCTAGACTGTTACCGTTTCAGCTTATTCACAGCTAATCTAAAACTTGTTAATAATCAGTATTATTAAATCATTACTCATCAAAATAATTATTAAACAGCAGTTGCACTGACATTTCATATTACAGTGGAATGAATAGGCTTTTAATAACAAGGTAGTTTCTAAATAAATGGACAAATAATACTTAGGAATGGAATAAAAGAAGAGTTCTATATTGCCTCCTTTTCACATTTTTTGTTTAAGAGAGCTAAGCCCTGAGAAATCGTGAATGAATCCATGGAGTAGTAGGAGTTTTGTGATAGTAATGTCACTTAATTCTTTGAATTCCTTTTGAGTTCTGTGCCTCCAAATGACAACTCAGTTAGGTCCTTCACAACTGTGTTAAAGTGCAGAATTGGAAATGATCTAACTTCCAAAAGGAATTTTTATTCAGCCTTTAGAGGTATTTATTTCTTCAGTTTTGGAAAGCACACCAAAAAGTCTATGTCAAAATTTTTCAAACAATCATTAATTGAATCTCTTCCTCTTTTTACTTAGAGGTAACCTGTTTAACTCAAAATATTCCAAAAAAGATAAAGTAGCATTAATAAACTTTTATCGATTTTCTTTTTTTATAAAATGCTTTGAAATCCTATGCTTTTAAAAATATATTTCTGGTAAGACCTTGGAGCTGTATATCTGGCTCATTCACTTGTGGAAGTTGACTGTTACAGAATCTGGTGGCAAAACCAGTCCTTCTTGTCAAACGGGCTAGCCAGGCCAGATAGTATTCTGTCAATAAAGAGCATTCTGAGAGCATTCTTGGGTTCAATAAATGTGTTATTAGGTATCTCTATAACAGTCATCTCGTTCCTGAATTCTCAATTCTAATTCCTGGTTGGATGAGAATTCTGGGAATACTCAATAAAAGAAGAAAGGTCGTTAGACAAGAACCATCATCACTTCTTTTCCATTCTATAATATATATAAGTATTTTTCCAGTGGATACAGGCAGACTTCATTTTATCATGCTTTACATTATCACATAGCCCCAAAATAATGTTATAAAACTGTACTTCCTTATATATTTTAAGGTGACATATAAATTCTTGTCAAGATGATTGCAAAGGATGCAATACTGTCTCGCTTTCCCCCTCTTTTTGTGCAGTGTTGTTGTGCTACGCAGATACTGCATTTTTTACAAATCAGGTTTTCTGGCAGCCCTGTCTCAAACAAGTCTCTTGACACCATTTTTCCAAAAGCATGTGCCCACTGCAGGTCTCTGTGTACGTTTTGCTAATTCTTGTAACATGTCCCACTTCTTCACTATGATTCTGTCTGTTATGGTGATCTGTGATCAGTGATCTTTGGTGTTACTGTTGTAATTGTTTTGGAGATAATAATCTGTACCCTTATAAATAAGATGGTGAACTTAATATCGTGTGTTCTGACTGCTCCACCCACTGGCCATTCCCTGTCTCTTTCTCACTCTTTAGAGTCAGGCATCGTCAAACTACGGCCCACGGGCCACATGCAGCCCACCTAGGACATTTATCCGGCCTGCTGGGTGTTTTTGCGGCCGCTGCCTGTCCTGCTTAGCAGCTGACTTGTCCCAGGGCCCGCAGTCCGGTCTTCCAGCGGTCTGAGGGACAGTGAACTGGTCCCTTGTTTAAAAAGTTTGAGGACCCCTGCTTAGACCTTCTCATTTCCTGACACACAATAATGTTGAAATCAGTTCAAGTAATGACCCTGCAGGGGCTTCTGAGTGTTCAAGTGAAAGGAAAAATCACAGGTTTCTTTAAATCAAAAGCTAGAAATAATTAAGCTTAGTGAGAAAGGTGTGTCCAAAGCCAAGTTAGGCTGAAAGCCAGGCTTTTAAACTAGTTAGCCACATCATGAATGCAAAGGAACATTAAATAGTGCGTGAAGAAAATTAATAGTACTGGAAGCTGGGCCGGGGTGGGCGGTGCTGTCGCAGCGCCAGACCGCCCCCGCCGCGCCACTGCCGGCTTTGCGAGGGCCTGGAAACAATGAACTCAAATCAATGGCCCATATGTCTTCAGGGAGGACTGGCTCATGAAGATGTGTGGAGTGGGCCTATGCAGATGCTGGCTCTGGAACTCCTTGCTCTGTCTTTCCTACCAATCCCAGGTCCTCGCCTCACGCAGCCTGGGGTATTCCACTCTGGTTTTAACAGGATGATGTAGCACTTGGGGATAAAGATGCTGCCCAGCAACCCTGCGGTGGAGGCCAGGATAGAGAAGATCTCTACAGCCACTGTGGACTTGCCCCGTGCACTATGGTACAGGGGCAGGAAGGTTGTCCAGACACTGCAAAAGAGCAGCATGCTAAAAGTGAAGAACTTAGTCTCATTGAAGGCATTGGGCAGACCCCTTGCCAGGAAGGCCACAGAAAAGGTGAACCCCGCCAGGGGGCCCAAGTAGCCCAGCACACAGGAAAAAGCAATGCCAGAGCCTTCCTGGCACTGGATGACAATGTGGCTAGGTTCTGAGACTGTGTCTCTATCTGGGAACGGTGGGGAGGTGCCCATCCAGACCCCACAGAGAACAACCTGCACTAAGGAGGCAACGAGGACCACCAAGGCGGAGGCGTTGGGTCCCAGGCACATCTGGACCCTGTCCCCTGGTCTGGTGATCCTGAAGGCCAGGACCACGGTCAGGGTCTTTGCCAGGATGGAGGAAACAGCCACAGTAAACACAACGGCAAAGGTGGTCTGGCGGAGGAGGCAAGTGGCAACGGTGGGACGGCCAATGAAGAGCAAAGCAGAGAGGGCACAAAGAGCCAGAGAGGTGAGGAGCATGTAGCTGAGAGCTCTGTTGTTGGCCCTGACCACTGGTGTGTCCCGGTGCTTCAGAAATACCCCAAGGACCAGCACTGCTAGCCCAGCCAGCATGAGTGCTACTGAGGCCAGCATAAGGCCCATGGGCTCCTCAAAGGCCAGGAAGGTCTCTGTCCTAGGCAGGCAGTGGTCTCGGGTGCGGCTCGAGTACTGCTCTTCTGGGCACAGAAGACAATGCTTCATGTCTGTGGGAGACACACAGACCCCGTATCTGCAACGTGACAGTAATGACACCTGCCATGTGGAGGGACACTCCCTATGTACCCTGCAGAATCTTTCACATCTACTAATGTGTTGACAGATTGTTCTGAACTTTCTAGTGCCTGTGGCACAAGAAAAACTACAGCCTACATACATATTTGTATTTGGG